TCAGTATCTTGTAGTAGCTTATGGTAAAAAAAGAATATGAAAATGAATATATGTATATTCCTGTATAACTGAAGCATTGTGCTGTACACCAGAAATTGACACAACATTGTAAACTGACTACGCTTCAATTATAAAAAAAAGTAAAAAAGTTAAAGATTTTTTAAAAATAACCTTCCCTAGCTCTTCATCTTAAAATGCCATCAGTTCCTAGAACTAGTGTCCATTCCTTTATCATTATGCATGAAGTAGCAACTGAACAAGAATTGGTTTAAGACACTCATACTTAGTTTCTCACAAGATTTAATAACCTTGAAAGTAATCACTTTTTGTGTTATCCATTGGAATACAATATAGTTCACTATTTAAATTACATGCAAGCCTACATCTGGAAATACTAGACTTCATTTGAAAACATGTCATTCAAACTGTTACACCAGTTTATTCAAAATCTTAACATGAGAGAGAGATTTAAGGTCTAATCCTAAAACTATCGAACAATTCAAATACGAGGAAATTAGCCCTAATAAAGAAAATACAACTACCATCTGGAGAAAAACATCAAAAAAGCCAAAAATTACAAACAATGCTGTAAATGGCAGCAGCGGGAGGCAGACAGAACACCACCCTCACTGAGGTACAGAAAACTTTCCATTCTTGCTCCCAGCTAACCTAACTCTACCCCTTCATTCATTCAAACTTTAACTGAGCACCACCAGAGAATAAAATAATAATAGTAGTAACAATAATATGATAGTACCTATCCTTAAGAAGTTCACAATCTTCTGAACTAGAATGTGACCTTTGGAAAGTCACTAGACCACTCTTTGTTTCCTTTTGTGTAAACGTGAATAGTAACAGCATCCCCATCTCACAAGTGAGGTTCAAACGCAATGAGAAAGCACCGCAATACGTTTAAGCATCAAATGAACGTACATGGATTTTGCTTTTGGATTTAGCAAAATTACGTAAGTGTGAAACTGGTTTTCTTAACAAGCAATTGGAGAAATCTGTTATTTCATTCCTGCCCACCGTTTAATTCACCACTTTAGACATTCATTCACGCCAGATATACCTAAGACATTCTGTAAGGGCTACCAAAGAAATGTTCTCAGACCCTCCAATTCACTGTCCCCATAAGACCATGCTGCAGGAAAGAGGCAGGGCATCCTCACACCCACACTGTGGTTTTCTCTAATGATAAGTCTCTAAACAAAGCTTGTGTCTGACTACTTCATAGTAGTGAAATAGATGCAACTGCCTCAGAAGACTATTTGGAAAGTGATACCGACACTCTTCCTTAAATCATTTTCTAACAGATCAAGAATATTTCCCTAACTGTTGCAAATCTTAAAACTCCTACCAAAAATGCCAGATTCAAAACAATTGCAAACCAAAATACCAATAGGTCTGTACCACATAGTAGAAACATTTGTGTTGCTATTGAGTTTTAATAAACTCTTTACTGTGTGAAAATGTAACCATAAAACATACCATGCTTAAGTAATTTTCAAAACATAACCAAGTAATTTTCCAAAAATGAAAATGGAAAAAGGGTGTCACAATCATAAATAAGGTCAGCTGCAGGACCATTATAATAAAAAATGATCCATCGACAGTCCTACTGCCACTTGCCAAATTTTATTACAAACTCTAACATCAATTTCTAATCACAGGAAAAGTTGAAGAAATAAAGTACATCATAAAATTCCTAAGTTGGGAAGTATAAACATTTAATGAATTTTTTATACAGTAAGTTTAAAGCAACGTACTAAAATATGGGCGATATTTTACCACACAAGATCACCATACATTTCACAGCAGCACAGCTCTTCCGTCTACAGCTGTAACTACAACAACGGCATAACTTGTTCGTCTAGAAGCCAGGACACCTGCACTAACTCACTGGGTCACCTGAAGCAGTAAACCTGGCCAAACTCAACATGAGGTCTGGTAAATCAGACGACTGAGACAGAGGGTATACAGGTCTTTTCTGGTAAACACACATCTCATAAAAGATTCAACAGGCCATGACACCACATCACCCCATCACTATCTACTATATATTTCCGTCAACTACAACTTAAACTCTATTTTCTATAGTTAGTTATGAACAACCAGTGTTTTACGTAAGCTAAAATGATGAATGTCTCAAACTACACAGGTCTTCCTCAAATTATTACCAGGATAACTGCTACTTGCCAAAATACAATGAACAAAATGATACTGCTATTCAAACCTGAATACACTAGCAGTGTTCTACTCTCTCCCTTTACTGAGTTTCACAAATAAATCACCACATTTTAGCTTTACTAAAATATGTCTTTTCAGTATAGACAATATTTTATTGGGTACTTTGGGGAAGAGCCATCTCTAAAATTCTTGTATGGCAATGAAGCTAAAGAAAAATAGGCAGTCATTTTAAACTATGTTTAACAATATGCCGTAGCCCTTAATGTTCCTAATGATTTGTGAGATTAAAGGAAGCAAATAATGTAAAATAAGTAGAAGGTTATGTTTCTGCAAATATTCTTGTGGTAGCAAGGAACAATCAATATTTTTTAAAGACATGCTTTATCTAAGACAGTAACTTTAAAAATGTTAATTTACCATGCTGCAGCACTGAAGACAATGCAAATCACCAGAGAAGGTGTGGACTCAGGAATGACATGATAGGAATGACATGGTCACACAGCACATGGTCTCTAGCGAAAAGGAACTAGTGCAAATTGTCAAGCCAATTAACAACTTTCCAAGGTGAGATAATCACTGAAATGAAGAAACCTTTCTCTTAGAAACTCCACATAGTTCAGAAAACCCTATTAACATATTAAATATGTTTTTAGAAAAATCTTAATTTTCAAAGACACAATATTTTTATACGCTTTATATGTGTGATTATCCCCTTCTCACTTAATTTTCATTAACAGTCCTTTTTCGGGCGGCATGGTGAAAACTGCTGGGAATACGCAGTTCACTTCTTTAAGCCTACATTTTCTTACATAACTGGCTCAATGTCACAGGATTATCAAGTGGTAAAGCCAAGATTAAAATCTAGGTTTCTTACCATTCCAGAGAGCTAATAACATCAGTAATAAAAATCCGAGCTTAAGAAAAAGCACAAAGGAAAATATCACTGAGCCAAAAACCTATTTTTTGTTTGTACAATAAATTACAATAGGACAATTCTTCTGGTGAGCGGAACGGTATCTTATTAAAAATACACCACTTCATTACCCTGCAGGTTGACTTGTCACTCTTAACTATCTCAAATAAAGGTGAGAATATATAAGTAAATAAAAAAGAAGTCAGGAATGTCAGTGTCAAAAAGTTTTCACACCAGAAGTTTATGTACTAACTCATAAGAAAATCCTCACTTATGACCTATTTACTCTGGTCATCTTGTTTTTCAATCCCAGTAGATTAAATACTGCAGAGACAGTTTATGCTACAGAAAGATATAAGTGAGCAATAAAAAGCAAGAGTCTAAGGGGCAGAGGGAGTCTGACCAACAATGAAGAGGCAATGAACTGCAGGATCCCCCAGGGCCTCAAAGCTGCTGTTACACTGATGATCTCAAATCATCAAGAAACTCAGCAGTATTCAGAGAAATCTGTTTAAGGCAAAAAATATACACCTCAGGCTCTCTGTATCTGCAGGTCCCGAAACCATAGATAGAGAGTATTTGGGGAGAAATCTGCTGCACAACTGCTTACATAGTATTTGCATGATACTCACAACTATTTACATGGTCTTTGCCCTGTGTTATGTATGATAAGTGATCTAGAGATGATTTAAAGTACACGGAAAGAGTGCGTAGGTTATATGCAAATACTACACCATTTTATATAAGGGACTTGGGTATCTGTGGATTTTGGCAACCAATGGGGGGGGTGTCCTAGAACCAATCCCCTGTGGATACCTGGGGACAACCATAATACATTCAGAAAAGTGTTCTGTCAAAATTATCTTGAATTATTCTCGGTACTTACATTTTTAAGTCTCAGTTACATGGAAAATTATATGTTAGATACATATGCATTCAAATGTTATGCATTTATTTTACTACTCTACTTCACCCAGAATCCTGTAAATATTTTTAAATATTTTACTTAAACAGTAAATAATATTTATTTTAAATATTATCCCATAAAAGGGATATAAATTAGAATTCACTAAGATAGCCATTGAGTGTTTTGGTTCCAAGATACAAACCTACTGCAGCATGGAACTGAGATAAAGCATCAGCCAGCTGTCCAGCTGCAAGGAGTTTCTTGCCCAATTCAAGATGTTTTTCAACATCTGCATTTACTCCACATTCAGCACCTAAAAACAAATTAAAAAATAATAAATCAACTTTCCACAAACCAAGATTTAATTCCAAAGAACAAAATGTTAAAAATATAGTTATCTGCTTCAGCCACCTATTCAGATGAAAAGTCACAGAAGCTGAAGAGTGACCTAGGCAAAGTAACCATGAAGTACAAACACTGCTTCATTTTAGAGTATAAGCCACCCCAATATATACCCCCACCAACCTAGTCAGAAGAATGTACCCAGTCTACAAAATACAAGGAGAACTAAACTCAGTAACTAGTAAAATCAGTTATAATTTATTGTTCAACATTAGAATGGCTTTGTTAAACTAGAGTCTCACTTTAATGGATATTAGAGTCCACTATAATATTCAAAAACTTATTGAGCATCTACAGTACACCAGGCACTTTTCGGGATATTTAGGACAAGTGAACAAAACAAACAAAAACCTCGGTCCCACGTGGCACCTGACATTACAGCAGCAGGAGACAGACATAAGAAATAAGTAACTTACAGAGTACGGTTAGTGAACAGTGGAGCTGTGTGAGGCGGGGCGGGAGCGGTGGGACTTTCAGTATTACATAAGGTGGTCAAGGACAGGCCTCACTGGGAAGCTGGCATTTGAGCAAAGACTTAACTTGAAGAAAGTAAGGACTCACCAGGTAGGTATCCAGCTAGGAAAAGAGCTTGCCAAGAAGGACCAACAAGTGTGAGGGCCCTAAGTCAGGAGGATGCCAGGTATGTTCCAGAAACAGCAGGGAGGACAGCATGGCTACCACACAGCCAGCAAGGGAGACAACAGAACAAGATGAGATCAGAGTAGTAGAAGGCCCGACTATGTACAGCTTTGGTTTCACTCTTGGCAAAATAGGGAGCTAGCGAGGAATTGTGCATAGAATAACATGATCTGATTGTCTGGGCCCATTATCAACGTGCTGCGTCTCAGCTCTGAATTCATCCTTCAGTACTGGACTCTATTAAGAGACTGGAGTGTTTAAGCATTCTTCTGTACACTGAGCACAGTGCTATGCTTTGTCAGTAAAGGGCACTGAAAGGGCACTGCAGGAAGGACACCTCCTGGTTCCTGTTGACACCATTACTTCTTTCTGGCCCCTGCTACCCAGCGTTCTGGGGCAGCACATCCAGTGCTGCCCTGCCCTAGCCATATGCCCAGGGGTCCAGTCCCTCAGCCACCTGGCAGCCTTGGTCACACACCACCTCCCAAGGGGGACACCTCACATTCCAGGCTTCATACCTACAGCAGCACCCCAACTCCCCACACACACAGGCCGACCAGCTGGGTCTCACCTACCCCTGAGGTTGATTCTTGCTTCCCCAGCTACTGTAGGCCATCTCTAGACCTGGCAACTCAGCAAATTTTCCTAACAACAAACTTAGGCTTCAACTAAACTGTCTCCAATGAAGTCTGAACCCCAACCTTGAGGAGGGAATCCCCTTCCAAACTGGCCCTTCCTTGGGGACCGTCTGTCAGCCCCAGACCATCCTGTAGTTCTCTTTACATCATTAAGTTCACCCTCCTATCATAACAATTCTTTATATTGAACTTTCCCTTTTAAAATTACCCTGTGGTTTCTGTCTCCTAAATGGACCCAGACTCATACACAACTGGTAGAGACAGAACCACAAAAACGGGATTTAAGGATTAGTTTGGTCATGCCCTTGAGCTTGAGTGCAGTGCTGATTTCCTTGTCAATGAGAAAGAAGATGTTAGTAATCCACAGCAGGTATCAGAATCACAGTTAACCATGATATTTGTGGTTGACAGTAATGAAGTGCTAACTAAGGCACATGCCTTGGAAGCCCAAGTGGCTGCTGCACTTGATTACAACGGTCGTAATGATGGAAATGAGAACTGGGACGTGGGGTGGATCCTCTGAGTGCACTAGAGCATTCGGAGGAAATAACAAGCTCAGGTCGAACCCCCAGCTCAAGTCAGTCTGAGAAATTCCAAGGCAGCCCCAAAACAATCTCTTACCTTTCATAGCCACAGAGCCAATTTAGCTGAAAATCAAACACAAAATGTAATTTTGAGGGCTGCTGAATTAAAATAGTTGAATTCACAGTCTCCCCTGCAAGCTTCTTCTATGAAACTTAGGACCTGCGTTAGTAAAGAATAGGATCCTCAAACTTAGAACGGAGACATCTGGTTGTACCTAGATGAAACTGACCAACTCAAACCTCCAAGTCCTTCTGAGCCTCCCTTACCTACAGGAGTAGCCTGCCTTCCACTATCAGTGGAACCTCACTTTCCACTGCTTGAAATTCCTAAGATAACCTTACCTAGGGCAGATGCCATGAAAGGAAATGCTCACTGAGACCCAACCTAAACATTCTAGATGTCACTAGGCAAGTATACACTGACCTAAAGAAAACAGTTTACACACCAAAAGAATTGTTAAGACTTTACTGATAAACTAGGAGAAACCCACAGGCACATGTGCAAGTGGATTCTAAAGGTCTTAGATCAAGGAGAGTGGAATATAACAAGAGAGCTGACCTCATTAACTGATATGTGCCCACTTACTGGAGCAGAGGTCAGCAAACTGTATTTGTAAATAAAATTTTACTGGAACACAGCCATGTCCCTTCATTACACATTGCCCAAGGCTGCTTTCATGCTACAACGGAAAAGTTGAGTAGTTTCAACAAAAACCGTATGGCTCATCAAACCTAGAGACAACTATAGTATATTGAGAAAAGCTTTCTGTCAAAATTATCTTGAATTATTCTTGGTACTTATAGTTTTAAGTCTCAGTTACATGGAAAACTCTCTTACAGTAGATATATATATATATGCATTCAATGGGGAGGGTAGAACTCAGTGGTAGAGCACGCATGAAGTCCTGGGTTCAATCCCTAGTACCTGTGTTCGAAAGTAAATTAAAATAAATAAGCCTAATTACCTCCCCCCAAAACATAAATAAATAAAAACAAAGTTGTATGCATTCAAATGCTGTGCATTTATTTTATTACTCTTTTTCACCCAGAGTCCTCTAAATATTGTTAAACATTTAAACAGTAAATAATATTTGTTTTGTTGTCCCAAAAAAGGGATATGAATTAGAATTCACTATGATAGCCACTGAGTGTTTTGGTTCCAAGATACAAACATACCGCACATGAAAGCATCAGCTAGCTGGCCAGCCGCAAGGAGTTTCCTACCAAGGGGAAATGTGGTTTGCTGCTATACAATGACGGCAAAGAAGGCTACATCTGGAACCCCAAGGAGTCTCCTAGGGGCTTAGTACTTCCATGCCTGATTCTAAACATTAATTAAAAACTACAGCAGCCAGAAAGAGAAAGAAAAATACCATATGATATCTCACATGTGGAATCTAAAAAAAAAAAAAGACAAATGAACTTATTTACAAAACAGAAACAAACTCACAGACCTAGAAAACAAACTTATGGTTACCAGGGGGTAGGGGGTAGGAAGGTATAAATTGGAAGTTCAAGATTTGCAGGTACTAACTACTATGTAAATAAATCAACAAGTTTATACTGTATAACACAGGAATTATATTCAATATCTTGTAGTAATTTATGGTGAAAAAGAATATATGTATGTTTATGTATGACTGAACATAATGCTACACACCAGAAACTGACACATTGTAAACTGACTATACTTCAACAAAAAAAAAATATGAAAAAATAAAAGTAAAAACTTTAAACTTACAATGTTTAAAGAAAAAAAAATACAGCAACCAAAAAACAGAACAATTAAGCACTCAGACCCTTCAGAAATGAAGGTTTGGGTTACACCATCAGGTAAAGAAGCCAGAGGAGCTAAGGTTCTAGCTGAGGGCAGGAGAAGCGTGGAATAGGAAGGTGAAGAAGGAAGCCATACAGATCAGCTGTGACCTCGTGACCAATTAGACACAGGACTGCAGTGGTTTTACACATTTTCTCTCTGCTCATTTATACATGTGTTTATTCGTATACAGTCAATTCTCGCAATTCACAGATTCTGCATCTGAGAATTTGCCCACTCACTAGAACTCATTTGTGATCCCCCAATCAATACTCAGGCGCCTTGGCAGTCATTTGAGGATATGTGTACGTGCAGAACAGTGACACACTTCAGAGTCACTCGAAGCGCACATTCCCAGTTGAAGTCAAACAAGATGATCCTCTTCCTTCTTGCATCAGCCCTCATTATAAACAAGTGTCCTTTCTACAGTGTATTTAGTGTCATATTTTTTATTTTTTTTGGTGATTTCACTGTTCACAATGGCCCCCAAACACAGTGCTATCTAGTGTTCCTAAGCACAAAACACTGTAATGTACCTTTCAAAGAAAATGTTTGTTAGATAAGCTTTATTCAGGTATGAATGATAATGCTTTTGGCCATGAGTAGTTCAAAGTTAATTAATCAGTAATATAAATCAGATTACTTTAAACACAAACATACACAAAGTTGTTCTGATCTGTTGACAAAAACATAGTGACCTGAGGCCTTGCAGGATTCTAACCCTGTATTTCCTCCTTAGGTACAATGATTCAGTATTTGCTATTTCAATATTCATGATGACATATGTAATATCTCTACCGTGAATAAGGAGAATCAACCGTACTTTGCCTAATTTCCAGTTTTCATTTTATATACAAGCTGTTGAAATTAACTTTACAACTTAGTTTTCATACAACTGAATACTGAGTGGGACAGTGATGGAATAAGAGTAGTAACTAATACAGCCAGTAATGGACAAAGTAACTGTTAGAACTGTGTCTTCTTAATTGGGGTACCAGTGAGAATTTCTCCACTTAGATGAAGAATAGTTGTAACTTGTTAGGTAGAAAATAGAGTCATTTTGTTGTTCTGAAGTTCAAATGTGTGTAGAAGGTGCATATGGAAACATGTTACAGCGAACATGACATTCAGCTTTTCGGTGTGCTAAAGGGACACTGCAGGAAAAAAATTAGAGCAGTTATCACTTTAGAGAGTCGGAGAAAGACTGGGAAGGAACAGGAGGTAACTTTCTGGGGTGCCAACAGTGTTCTAATCCTGACAGGAGCGTGGGTTACACAGGTATATGCAGTTATCGAAACTCAGCAAATACATACTTTAAAATAAACATTTTATGGTATAAATTTTAAACCCCAAAAAACTGTTGATGATACGCATGTTAAAGTATTTAGAGACATGTGTAGTGATGTTACTTTGGAATACATTTTTTGAAAAGAATGGATAAAGAAGTGCCCAGTTGAATATTGTTAAAAACAAGTATAGTACTTCATTAATGGCAGAATTTAGGTGATGCATGTAGGATTATACACTACAAAATTGTTTCAACTTCACAAAATGTTTAATAATAAAATGTTGGGGAAGTATACAATACAGTAAACACCAGGATGGAGGGCTACACACATGGTGCTGGGAGGACACAAGACACCTAACAACTATAGTTAAAATTGAATAAAATCTGAAATTCAATTTCTCAGTCTTAGTAGTTACAGCATAAATGCTGGATAGCATCATCACAGAAAGTTCTATTGGACTGCACTGGGACGGGGACAGGGGCAGCGGGGTGCGGTGTTCCCTGGGGTCTCACCTGAAACCTGAAGGAAAGACAGACCGGTGTGAAAAGGCTGAAGAGGGAAACGAACATTCCAAACACAAAGAACAGCATATTTAAATGCCCAGAACTCAAGACTAATGAGGCTTTCAGAGAAAGCCAAGTCCAGTGTTTCAGCTGCTCTCCTCTCATCATCGTTTCATTACTCTGGAAGGGGTCACTTTCACTGACAGATGATTCTAGTAAACAGCCAGAAGGGAAGAGGGAAACCAATAAAGTATCTGTTACAACAATCCCGGTGACATGATGGTGACTTGACATGGAGTAGCAGCAGTGGAAATACAGAAAAATAGACTGTTCAGAAAAATAAGAGAGAAAGAAGCCTACATGTGATTTACACACTGACTGGACGTGGAGGTCAAGTGAAGAACAAGCAGAAGCTCAGGAAGATACCCAGGACAACTGTCTGAGCAACTGCCAGCCACTTCGGTCGTCAAAAGCAAGTGAATTCCCAATTCCATCTAACAGCAAAAAGCCAAATGAGATTCACTTTACCTCACTATTTGCCCTACTAAACAAAGCAGCTTCTTAAGCTTTTCATATCCCTGTTCCGCAGTTTCTGTGCAGTGTTTCATTGCCATGGCTGCCTGCTGGAGCCCTCTGTACACGGAAGGAAGGGAAAAGGGGCAGAGAGAAGGAGGAAACTTAAACGTGGTGGTCTCAAAACCTCAGGGTCCTGCAGAGCCCTATTTGTTTTGGACAACAACGTGAAGATGTCTGAAGTATCTAAGAGTGTGTGGGTAACATTTGGAGGAATTAGCTGGGGGAGGGGTGTTAATGGGCTGGGAAAGCACTATTACTTTTCCCATTTAAAAGGAAATTACAGGCTCCTGCTCAGTGAAAATTCACTATGCAATATAGAGTTAGAAACTGATTATATTCAGAATGTGAGGCTCACCTGTGGTTCCACCTAATTCTACACAATATCCAAAAATATAACCTGCTTTTCACAATGAAGATTATGGGATGAATGTATTTCATTTAAGAAATGTTACTGAATATATAGTAGGTAAAAAACTGGCCATAACAGAAACAGCAATAAGGTCATCTCTCCCAAAGAGGCAAGGAGGAGAAACCTACAGGCTTTAGCCTTACGAGAACTCCCTCACCTGCAGGGCAATCATTGACTCTGGAGAGAGAGGGGCTATTTTCCAGCATTAGGTTGGAGTCTCTGTCACATACTGAAGTATTTACAGAATATGTAATCTGCAGAATGGGACTGACTTCAAAATAATCTTGGAGGGGAGGGTGAAAGTACAGATGAAGTAAGACCGAACAGGTGTTGGTAATTTTTGAAGGTGGGTGACAGCAACAGTGGTACATGATACTATTCTACTTTGGTATATTTTTAAGATTTTCCAAAAACAAAATTTGTTTAACTTAAATCCTCTCAATGAAGACAAAACTGACTGATAAAAACTACCTCTTACATTAAAAAAAAAGTTTTGAAGAAAGTAGTCCATGGGGACAAGAGTAAGACAGTCAACTAAGCACATGAGCCTATCTCCCAACATGCTCAAATTCTAGAAATGACAGAATTTATTTAAAGAGATAAATGCATAACCTTGCTGGAAACAAAATTTTTTAAAGAGGACTATCTGAAAAATAGAAATTTTAGAAAAATTCTCAAAACTTAAAAAGGACAGGATTTGATGGGTGGGCAAAATCACATCCAAGCAGTCCCCCAGGGGAAGTGTGCCACGGAGGTGACTGCAGTTCTCTGAGTGATCCAAACTCTGACACAAGGGAAAGGAAGGGGCCCTGGAGATTTCCCAGCCTTCAGACAGGCCAGGCAATCAGCCTTTTCCCACAATCAGAATTCAAAGACTAGCAATGAGCAATTCTGAAAAACAAAGATGATCATAAAGTCAATTCATAAGAAAGTAATACCATATAAAAGAATTAAGGAAACAAAATTAATGAAGCCAATTTTTTAAAATTCTAAAAATGAATATAATTGGCACTCTCACAGATCCACAAGGATGCAACTTACACTAAAAAGCAGACCAAGCGTCTATGCACTGACTGCTCAGCAGTGGGGATGCAGTGGAGAAAAGGACAAAACCACTTCTGAGCGCCAGGGTAAACTGCCAGAGGACAGGAAGAGCACACCTCGTATAGCACTAAATACAGTCAAATCAGCCCTCCCTGCGGAGATACTGTCTGAGTTAAAATATGAATGGGAGGGGGTGGCAGGGAGCAGTACTGAATGACAAGAAGCCTCCAGCATGCCAAATATGACCAGGCAAAGAGACCAAAACAAGTGCAAAGGACTTGGACTGGACTTCAACTTCAAGGAATCAAAAGGAGGCTCCCAGCATGTTAGGAATGATAGAGGATGCAGGCAAGATACATCACAGTGGGCCTTGCAGGCTATGGTAAGAAGTTTAGGTTTCATTTTGAAAGCAAAGGGAAATCATTAGATAGCTTTTTAGAAAGGAACCATCTGATTTACATTTCAAAAAGATCACTTTGGCTGTGGTTTGGAAAACAGATTAGAGGCAAGCAAGAAGGGAAAGAACTGTATCTCACAGCCATGTGGAAATTTAAAAAACATATTTTGCAAAAAAAAAAAAAAAGTGAAAGAACCGTGGTGGTGTGAACTAAGGACAGCAAGGCACATTATAGTAAATATATTCAGGTTTCATTTATGCTTCAAAAAGAAGACATGTATGTATTTCTGTATTGTTTAGTTTTTTCTAGTAAGGACGAATTCATGTGCTAATACAATAAAAACTTAAAGTAAACTGAAGAATGTGTTTTGTTAAAGATGTTACTGAGTAAATAATCACTTGCAGTTGAAAGCTCTTCAAGAATATTTGTAAATACTACAGACATATCATATTTTATAATTCAGCAGCCAGTTAAGTGAGAAAAGAAAAGCAAAATAACCCTGTCTCTAATATTTTTGTTAAACTGTAGTTCAAAGGTATATCAATATAATCAGATACAACAGGAATTATACATGATATAGACTCTAAAATTTAAAACAGTCCTTATCTTTTATAAACACTAAAATATTTATGAATGAAATGATGGCATGTAAAATGTTTCAAAATAATCCACGGGTATAGATGAAATAAGATTGCTCATGGGTTGGCAACTGTTAAAGATGGGAGATGGGTACGTGGGGGGTTCATTACACCAGTCCTCGCCTTTGTAAATAAGTGAAATTTTCTGTAAGATTTTTTTCTTTATTTTTATTTGCATCTTTTTTATTGAAGTATAGTCAGTTTACAATGTTGTGTCAGTTTGTGGTGTACAGCATGTTTCAGTCATACATATACATATATATACATATATTCACTTTCATACGTCACTTATACATGGAATCTGAAAAAAAGACACAAATGAACTTATTTACACACAGAAACAGACTCCCAGACATAGAGAACAAACGTATGGTTACCAGGGGTAGAGGGGGTGGGAAGGGATAAATTGGGAGCTCGAGATTTGCAAATACCAACTACTATCTATAAAACTGATAAACAAGTTTATACTATATAGCCCGGGGAACTATGTTCAGTATCTTACGGTAACCTATAATGAAAAAGAATATGAAAACGAATATGATGAGGTTTTATTTTTAAATCTTTAAGGGACAGGGGTGAGGAAATTAAAACAACGATAATTCATTTTGATTTTATTAGAGATAAGTTCTAATATAAACTCTACCCCCATAAACATTTACAGTTCTTAATGCAAAATATAAAAGACTGCATCACTCATGCAGAAGCAGGTACAGAAACCACGTTAAAATGATGCTAGAGAATAAACTAGGGATCAAATAAGAATGGTGAAAATGCTGTGTGCTGGCTGTTGAACCATCAGCCTGCTACAGCTGGTACAGTGAATCACAAGGCAAGTCAATGGGTATCTATGTGTTTCCTATTCTCAACATATGAGGGATCAGGGGCGGAGAGGTAGTCTTTAAAACAACATGAAGATTTCAAACATCTCCCTTTTTTTTTCTCAAAGGGAAGATCAGATCAATGTACTGAATTGAGGATTCCAGACTGCTTGAGGAGGTAAGAAATTTGGGTATGAGATAAACCATAAGTCACTGTACTTTCCTTATCCAGTCATAAAAATGTTTAACAGGTCAGTTGTAACAGAAGACAATTAAGAACTTACAATATGCCAGATACTTTTAGTATATTTGTTTCACTTAATTTGCACGAAACAAACCTAGAAAGTTAACATCTTTTATACTTTTATAACTGAGGAAACTGAGGCTCAAAGAAGTTACCCAATCTGCCTAAAGACTCACAGTAACTGTCAGAACGAGACCCAATTCTAAAGCCCAGCTTTCTTTGCAGCACAGCTCATGAACCTTCCCCCCATATAAAACAGGCTAAGCCTTCCACAGTCCCCAAGCCTTGCACGCTTCACTCACCCAACCCATCATTTAATGTAACATTTTAGCCCCAATCACTTCCCACCTCACAGGCTGAACCTGAAGTCTAGTGGGAGCCAAAAATGCATTTGCAAAGTTCTTTGAACGGTTTGTCCAGATGCCTCAGGCCAGACATTCTTCACCCAAAGTCATGGCAGTTTCCTGCTTGGACAGTGGCGAACCAGCACTCCAACACGTGCTCACAGCACCCTGGGTGGCCCCTCCTCAGCTGCCTACCACGATGATCGGGTCCCCCTTGCAGGTGTGCCAGAACGACCACCAGGACTCGGAGGCCACCATCAACTGCCAAATCCACCTGGAGCTCTACACCACCTACATCTCCCTGCCCGCGTCTTCCTGCTTTGACTCTGATGGTGTTGCTTTGAAGAACATCGTCAAATATTTCCTTCAGCAGTCTCATGAGGAGAGGGAATATGATGAGAAACTGGTGAAGCTACAGAACCAACAAGGTGGGTGAATCCCAAATTCTTCAGGATATCAAGAAACTGAACCATGACAACCCAGACAGCAAGCCGACTGAATGCAACAGAATATGCATTACACTTGGAAAAAAAGAATGAATCAGTCCCTTCTGGAACTGCACAAACTGGCCACTGACAAAAATGATACCTGCTTGTGTGACTTCACCGAGACATTACCTGAATGAGCAGATAAAATCCATCAAAGAATTGGGTGACCACAACACCAACTTGCACAAGACGGGGGCCCACAAATCCAGCATGGCAGAGTATGTCTTTTACAAGCACACCCTGGGAGACAGTGAGAATGAGAGCTAAGTCCCAGGCTGGCTTCCCACAGCCACAGGGTCACTTTCCTGTCACCAAGGCAGTGCACGCATGTTGGAGTTACCTTCACCTTTTCTATAAGCTGTACCAAAACATCCACCTACATTCTTTCATTTGTATATTCCTTAAACTAAAATTTTGGCATCCTCCAAAAAGTTATGTATACTGTCACTCCAAAGGTTGAATTTCATTTCAAACTATGTTTCTCTTGCCTTCTACGATTAAAAGAGGCATCCAGCATTTCTATGTCCCTTTTAAATAAAATTCAGATCTTTATTATGTTACAATTTTATCCAACAGAATTTCCATTTAATAAGTAAATACCACTTCCTCGACAAAAATTTCTTTGGCACACCCAAATAATCCAGGGAGAATTCAT